CGAGCCTCCAAGGCACAGGACAATGTCCAGGTTTCGCTACCGTATAGCAAAACTGGCATTATCAGGGCCTTGAAAACCCGTAGCTTGGTCCTTCTGCACAGGTACCGACATATCCAAATACTCTTGTTGAGAGAGTTCATGACCCCTGCTGCAGGCAATCCGTCTGCTGACTTCATGGTCTGACAGCCCAGAGTTATGAACTACACTACCAAGGTATGTAAAGCTCTCTGTGACTTCAATGTCTCGCCGCAAGCACGTACCGACTGAACAGGTTCTCCTAACAAGTCCCCAAATTCCTGGACCTTGGTCTTGTCCAGGAGACCTCTAGACCAGGGGCTTCGCTTCATTGCTAAATGCATCGAGAGCCGCCACTAGGGTTTCCAAAGACTCAGATAGAATGGCAACGTCATCAGCAAAGTCAAGGTCTGTAACCTTGATATTGCCCAGCGTTGCCCCACAATGACTTTGAACAGTAGCTCTGCCCAGTATCCAGTCCATGCAAGTGTTTGAAAAGAGTTGGCGCAAGGACACAGCCTTGCCTCACTCCTGAACTAACAGGAAAGAAGCTCGACAGGCCCCACCACACTTTACAGCACTTTCAGTACCAGTATACAGGCTTGCTATTAGTCCAATAATCCTTGTTGGTATTCCTCTCAGCCTATATATATATATATATATATATATATTATATATATATATATTATATATATATATATATATATATATATATAATATATATAATATATATATATATGCACACACAATTATATATATATGTTATGATATGTGTGTGTGTGTGTGTGTGTTGTGTGTGTGTGTGTGTGTGTGTGTGTGTGTGGTGTGTGTGTGTGTTGTGTGTGTGTGTGTGTGTGTGTTGTGTGTGTGTATGTGTTTTTATGTGTGTGTGTATATATGTATGTGCATATGTATATATGTGTATGTGTATGTATATGTATATGTATATATATATATATATTTGCAATACCCTTCAATTCAATGGTCATAACCATAGTCTTGCTGTTTTCCAGGACACTTCAAAGGTAAAATTTTATTATGTAGAAAAAATTATATTAACCACGGCTCCATTTAATCAGTATGAAATGTCTCTTATCCAATTTGTTATCACTAATATACAGAGTTGTTTCATAGTCACTGGATCAAAGCACTGGTACCTGGAGTTTTGTGATTATGTGAAGAAAAGCCACTGTCACATTGCTCTTGTATTTACTTGAGGGGGAAGCACAAGGCAACACTCTATAGTTCAAATCTTGGATGAACTTGACATCACTAATTAAAACATGAGCTTCATTTAAACTAAGGATACTCGTAATTTATTAAAGCTTATTGGGATAGTGGCTTTTATTTTATTTAAAATGCCAGCTTTAATTCCAGGCCTCATGATATAGCACTAGTGTACCATATAATGATCATGATATTGGAGAATCACTAACTAGTTTCATATATACTTTCTCCTCCATTTCCAAGTTCACTTCCTGGTTGACTTCTGCGAAAATGCAGGCTACCCACTTATATTGGCATTTGTTGGGTCGTGTATCAGTGGATAGAGTGCCCGTCTTGTGATTTCTTTGCAATGGCGGTGGGGGTTCAAATCCCTGTCAGAGAGATTATAAATTAAGTGTAATGTTGATTCAGTAAATTCTTTTTCTGGAAAGACTGAATTTAGACACATCTGATATATGGTTTTCAAGTTTAAATGACAGATTGCCATTATGACAATACTGATTTGTAAATTTATTCATTTTTCATTAGTATTAAGTTTTAAATCCACAGCAGAAAAATAAAAAATAAGCCAACTTTGACTTAATTTTTCTGTCTTTCCATAACAGTCACCTGGTGCTTTGTTATTATTGACCTGCTATTCAGTATCCTGGCTTTTTGTGAAAGATCACAGGTATGGGGCAAAATGATACACAACTTTATAAAAATGAAAGAGTTTATTTAACAAAAGTTGTACAATTGTTAATATTAGATAATAGAAGTAAAAATGGGAGATATTACCTGGGCAAAAATTTGGTTTATCTCGACTCACTGATAAGTGCGAGGTACCAACTTTCACTAACAAAATAAAGTCAAATACATTTCCAAATAATCTACATTTTCTATTTTTAATGAAGGGAGATGTAAGCTGAATATTTCAGATTAGTTGCATTTTTTCAATTCTTTATCCACCAATTTAAAAAATTTTGCATACATTTTTGAATCCTGAAATTCCCATCCTACAGCTACCAATTTACATAAAGTCCCCATTACAATGATGGAATTACATTTTTTTTGTGTTTTGTGGTTTTATTCACTCCTAGGCAAAAGTCTAATTTACTAACCTTACACAAGACTTACAAATTAAGCTTTATTTACAATCTTAAATTCAATCTTACTTTAGTAACCTACCTTCTAAGGTAATAACTTACAAAATGGTAAAACATATCCAGCCTATCCCAAACAATAGAAAATACAGTAATCTATACTGAAAAAGTGAGATCTTGGCAGGTAAGGATAAATACAAAAATGACCTTAACACCTGCAGCTGCCCAGGTACAGGATGCCATACAACAGTCTCTGCTGCATGATTTAGATCTAGGCTTTCAATCAAATTGAAAAAGTATATAATAATAATAATAATAATAATAATAATAATAATAATAGTAACAAGAGCAACACTGAAACTGTTGAAAAGAATGTACTCAACTCTGCTATAAGAAAAACATCTTTGCCTAAATAATTTTGGTCAGAACTCACAGAGTTCATGAAACCAGTATCCGATTGCCTTTAAATCATGGTGGTTTGGCATTCATTCTGAAATCATGGATATTGATTAATGATAAAAAATATGCTTGAATCCAATATATCAGTAAATTGTTAAAGAAAATTAACATCAAATTGGTATGCTAATATTTAATAACAAGTTATATAGTGCAACATACATACATATGTTGTCATAAAAGTACTAAACATAAGAAAATACTGAATTGTTTTCAATTCACTATCTTTTCATCTGGAAGTGAAATAATCTATTCTAAAGGCAGACATTGTGTCAATTTTTGTTGAAATAATGACAAATGATACAGTTGCATTCAGACCCATGCAACTGTCACTTTCCATGAATAAAATAAATTAAATAATGATATTAACCATGCAGATCACAAACATATTCTTCTTGGAGATATTTTGCATGATGAATTGAAAAATTATTATAAATGAATAATAAAAAACTATCCTCAACACTCCTTATACAAAAGACAACAAAACCAAAGTTTGGGTATTTATTTACATCTTAGGAGTTTTGTCAGAAATATATTACACTTGGTCTCATCAAGTGTGTCCTGTTAACCATATTTTCAATATGCAGCAGAACTATGCTCATTTTATTTCTCCTTATGGTTAATGTCAAAAACAAGACTTTCATGCACTATACACCTTGTGTCATAATTAGATGGCTACAAGAATATAAAAATATTTTAGATATTGAAACTAACACATTTCTGACTTCAATTGTAACAAATTTAGAAAAAGTGTATATGGAAATAAACTTCACATTGCAAAATATGAATTTGACATTTTAACTAAGCTTCATCAGAAATACATATGTGAAAGGGAGGGGGGGGAGAGAGGAGAGAGGGAGGGAGGAGGGAGGGAGGGAGGGAGGGAGGAGGGAGGAGGAGGGAGAGGGAGGGAGAGGGAGGGAGGGAGGGAGGGAGGGAGGGAGGGAGGGAGGGAGAGGGAGAGGGAGAGGGAGAGGGAAGAGGGAGAGGGAGAGGGAGAGGGAGAGGGAGGGAGAGGAGAGGGAGAGGGAGAGGGAGGAGAGGGAGAGGAGAGGGAGAGAGAGAGAGAGAGAGAGAGAGAGAGAGAGAGAGGAAGAGAGAGAGAGAGAGAGAGAGAGAGAGAGAGAGAGAGAGAGAGAGAGAGAGAGAGAGAGAGCATAATCTTCAACAAAAGCATTTCTGATGTATACTTAAATCAAGTGCATCAAATACATTTCTTATGCTATGTGAAAATATTCTTCCTCACTCAGAACTTTTCCTAGATATACAAGACAATTCAAATCAGTCTCCTACCATTTCTTTTTTGTTACATGTCACTATCTATCCATTCTTCTCAAACAATACAGAACACTTGATGCTGATAACAATAAAGATTTCATTTAAAATTTCAAAGGACTTTACTCACACAAACAAGCAACTGCTCAGTTTCACGATGCCATGATGATCACTAACTACAAGCCAAATTTTTACCGTCTGAATTCACATCCAAGAAAATATTTATGAATTCAATACAATCTAAACAACTAGTGCCAGACCTTCTAATGGAATTTTCAATTTACAAAATTAAATTGGCACTTTTTTCTCTTTAAGATTCACTCTGAAATTACTAGCTCTTATACATGTGCAACAGAACAAGTTGATGCATAGCTCAAGATATACTTGGAAAATGCTACAAACCAATATAAAAAATTCTAAACACAAGCATTCCTTGTATTTAATTGCAATCAGACAACTACCTTGACTGCAAATTAGGGAAAGCTCCTGGAACATTGAACCTATCAATTGCACAGGTGATGTGAATGCATTTTCTCTTTAACTACGGTACATCTTCGTCACCTCAATGACAGGGAAATTGTGAATATATGCTACAACACATGTTGTCTATCACACACTATAATTTGAGAAATAACACAGATATTCAATTAAAAGTAAAATAAATAATTAGACCAAAATCACTTGTGGTGCTTGCCGATCAGTCACATTTTTGGACATAACACATTATCAACTACATAGTAACTTAGAAAACCAGTAAACCATTACATTGGCCATAAAAACTGGCCCTTTGGCCACCATGAAAGTCATTCATCAATGTGGAAAGATCACTAATGCATTAAATGCAATATCATCTTACTTATGAATGAATTTCTCTACCACTTCAAATCAAAATGTCCATCTAAAGCACCATTATATTTACATCTGATGAAAGATGTTGAGACCTTGTCATTCTACAGTTTTCAGGAGGTACTGTATCTAAAAAATAATACAGCATAAGAGAAATATTTTAAGGCCCCTTTTCAACACAGAACTAAGCATTCTGATATTGACTGAAGGAAGAGTTCATAAGCAATGTGCTATATCACAATGTTCTATTGGGAAAAAGTTAACTTTGTGTGCTAATATTTGATTCTACTTTACAAATAGTCCATAATGGTGGCAGGCTCAAATTTCTTTTCATTAGTCATCCTCCTACAAATTTAATACCATTATTTCATGTCCTGGCTACATTGTCCATAGCGTTCTTACTTGCTCCCACTGTGCATATGCATATGTTGGCTGATATGCTTGTTGAGGGAAGTTCTTCATGGTCTCTAAATATTCATGAGTCTTCTTATCTACAACTGCAGCAGCTGCAGCAGCAGCAGCATGATTGTTGGTGACTGCCTTCTGTGGCAATGGATACTGCTTTGTGTATTCAGTGTAATCCATTCCTTTTCTCTCACTGTGAACAAATCGGTGGCTATTAAGGTGGCTTTCCTGTGTAAATCTCTTTCCACATTCCATACATTCAAATCTCTTCTTCTGACTGTGCACAAACATGTGGCTATTCAAGTGGCTTTCTTGTCTAAACCTTTTACCACATTCCTCGCAACCATAGATCTTCTGCTCCGTGTGTACAAACCTGTGGCTGTTGAGGTGACTCAATTGAGAAAACCTTTTGCCACATTCATCACATGCAAATCTCTTCATCATGTCATGTGCACCATGGCCATTGAGTTGGCCATCCGGTAATCTTTTCCCCCACTCGCTTGCCTCAAGCTTTTTTTCTTCACTGTGTATGAATCTATGACTGTTGAGATGAATTTCCTGGATAAACTTCTTGCCACATTCCTCGCATTCGTACTTTTTTCTTCATTGTGGACAAACATGTGACTGCTTAGGTGGCTTTCTTGGGTGAATCGCTTATGGCATACATGACATTCAAACCTCTTTTCTTCACTATGCACAAACCTGTGGCTATTTAGGTGTGCCTTCCTTGTGAAACGTTTGCGACAGACTTCGCATTCAAATCTCTTTTCACTGTGAACAATCATGTGGCTGTTCAAGTGACTTTCCATAGAGAACCGCTTGCCACAAACAAGGCACTCAAACTTCTTCTCAACACTGTGTACCTGGCGATGGCTATTAAGATGAATCTCCATCATGAATCTCTTGCCACACACATCGCATTCAAACTTCTTTTCCATACTGTGGACAAGCACATGGCTTGTGAGATGAATCTCTAAAGCAAAACGTTTTCCGCAGACTCCACATTCAAAACGCTTTTCAACATTGTGCGAATGCATGTGACTGTTTAGGTGACTTCTTTGCCCAAAGCGCTTGCCACACTTCATGCATTCAAACTTCTTTTCCTTGATATGTACAAGTTTATGACTTCTAAGGTGATTCTCCATGATAAATGCTTTATGACAGATGTCACATTCAAAGTTCTTTTCCTCAGTATGGACAAGCATGTGACCATTCAAGTGGCTCTCCATTGTGAAGCACTTTTCACAAACTTGACACTTAAAATTCTTCTCAGCGCTATGCACAATCATGTGACTGTCCAGATGACTTTCCATGGTAAACCTCTTGCTGCAGATTCCACACTCAAACTTCTTCTCCTTCCTATGCCAAACCAAGTGGTTATTCAGATGACTCTCTTGAGCAAACCTTTTACCGCACTCTTCACATTCATATGGTTTTTCAGTTGTCTGCATCCACATAACATTGTGGGATGCTATTTGCTGCACTTCCACAATAGGCTCATTAATCTTATTATCTTTGTGCAAGTACTGGGGATCCTCCATACTGATCTTGCTGTCCCCAAAAAGTAGCCTTCTTCATACCAATTCAAGTCCTTGTCAGATGTAAATAACGAATGATGCCTGGCCCCTCTCTAAATAT